AGAAATATATATATATATATATATATCGTCAAATAGAACTGCCCGGTAAACCGTAGGCAGAGAGGGAGAAGAGGACAACAAACGAGGGGCTGTGACAAACTGTTTCGTCGGAGTTATATATATATCGTCACATATATATATATATATATATCGTCACAAATATATATATATATATATCGTCAAATAGAACTACCCGGTAAACCGTAGGCAGAGAGGGAGAAGAGGACAACAAACGAGGGGTTGTGACAAACTGTTTCGTCGGAGTTTCACCGACTCATATACATATATATATATATATATCGTCACAATTATTGACCCGGTTTTGGGCCCAACCATAATTCTGGTTGGACCATCGAGGTTCCAATCGGCCCGGTTGGGTCCGGTCCAGTCCAACCGGCCGGTGGCCGGTGCAGCCCTGTTTGAATCTGCAAATACTGCGGCTGTCCGTCTTGGATGCTTGATGGCTGGGATAAGTCGTTTGAAAATTTATTGGCCTCGTGCAGACTTGCATGCGCATTCGATTTCAAATCCCCACGCAAGCTTGTGCACTGCGCGAAGGGTGAGTTCATTGTCTTTTTCTTCTTCTCCCTTTTCCTTCTTCGTGTGTGTGCTACAGAGAGAGAGAGAGAGAGAGAAGACGCCCATCATGTGACTACATTCTCCTCCTCCTCCTAGTTCCCTGCATGCATCCTGCAAACCCCCTGGACTCCTAGAACACGAACGAGGTAGAAGAAAAGACTCAAAGACAGACAAGGAGAGAGGTCACAAACCACGCCACCCATCGTGCGACCTCATTTTCCTCCTCCTCACCAATCGCGCCACCCATCACACAACCTCATCTTCATCCTCCTCCTCAGCCTCCTTCTACTGCATCTTGTGTGTGTGTGTGTGTGTGCTACAGAGAGAGAGAGAACTTGTCCATCGCACGACTACATCCTCCTCTTCCTCCTCCCCCTCCTTCTTCTTCTTCTTCTTCTTCTTCTTCTTCTTCTTCTTCGTCGTCGTCGTCGTCATCGTCGTCGTCGTCGCCGTAGCCTTCCCTCCTTTTCACACAACCTGCACCCATTCTGCAAACTCCTGGAAAGCAAATGAGGTAAAAGAAAGAGAAACACAGAGAGAGGTCACCAATCACACAATCCATCGCTCGACCTCATCTTCCTCGTCCTCCTCATCCTAGTCGTGTAGGCAAGTTCCAGGTCCGTGGTGATTTAGAAGCCTGGCAGTAGAGGATTCCCCATGCCAGGCTTGTCCTTAGTCAGCGCAATGGCCACCCAGGAGCACCATAAAGAAACAAAACATAATACACGATCAATGTCGAAAGTGGTTGCTTAAAAGCCTGGCAGGAGGGGTCCACATCTGCATGCCAGGCTCGTCATAAGTCGGCGCAATGGGCATTCAGGAGCAACATAAAACAACCAACATATAACGCAAAACCAATGTAGGTACCAGAGTTCTCTCCATCTGCATGCCAGGCTTGTGGTAAGTCAGCGCAATAGCCGTCCAGGAGCAGCATAAACAACGAAAATGTAATCCAGCCTCCAAGACCAATGTAGATGAGTACCAACTGTAAACCAAGGACAAGTTGGACAACAGCATTGATAGCGATGAAATCAAGACAACAGAAAAAACGACAATCCTGAATACAGATTGATGTGTGTGCGTAAAGCACATACCGTCGAGACTGAAAACCAGGCAGAGAAAGCAAACACTCTTAGACTACACAGATCATGAGCGAAAGGAGACATACGGATTACGGCGTGAACCTCTTCCGGCATGCTGTTCAAACTGCGAGCAGCTAATCTGCAATCAATTTACAACAACCCCAAGAGATGGAAAAGTAATCAGCAAAATCATAAAGATAGATCGTGCAGTAAGGGTGGGACAAGGCTCTCTTTTTGCCTCACTCTCAGCCCCCCACCCACCCCAAGAGATGGAAAAGTAATCAGCAAAATCATAAAGATAGATCGAGCAGTAAGGATGGGACAAGCTTCTCTTTTTGCCTACCCCCCCCCCCCCCCCCCCAAGCAGAAAGAACTGTAAGACTTCACGTCAACAGCATGAGGTACAAAGAGAAGCAATGCCATATTTTCCTTTCCCAAGAACAACCACCATTCTTCAGATACAACAAGGATCGATGGCCAAAATCCATACATGTTCCTGAGAGATCCAGAGTCTGTCACAAACAACTCGATGAATGCCTCAACATGACCAAATTACATTGAACCAAAACCCAGACCATTGCTGCACATAGCACCACCCTTCCTAGGCCTTTTTCTTTTCAATCGAATTCCTATCACAGCTCCTCGTCACCCATCGGTCCATGGTAGATGTAATGTCAGATGATTTACCCTTTTTTTCCTCTTTAGTTTCCCTTCAGCCAGAACACTAGCTTCCAGATTCCGTAAACAAACACCGGCTCTAAGACATAGAGGTACTCGTCAACTGTGAAAAACCGTGAGCAGTGCAGTGACGCCCTCAAGTATTGAATTATTTTCAAGTCACATCAGCCTACCAATACCTGCTCACCCTAAAGATCACCCCCTTTGAAAAGACAAAACAAAAAACAAAGACACCCCTGGAGCTGGTCACTTCTCAAAAGAAAACACTTCAAAGTTCAAACTCAACGCTACACCATCACAATTCACTTCTGGCAACGCCACATGGGCAGGTCTGGACATCACTGCAAAACACACAAAACATGCACACACACACACACACACACACACACACACACACACACAGGTGCGCAACGTTCTTTCTTTTCTTTTCTTTTCTTTGTGGAATAGAGTTTTTAACCCGCAATACCCATGTCTCGGTTAGCCCTCAAGAGCAAAAAAAAATATTTTTCTGATTTGGTCCCTTTCTTGACGTGTGTCATCGTTGGACAGGGACCATGCTATTCTCTTCATCATTGTTCCAATTTTAACAGATGTCCCAAAGGATCCATCCATACCTCATAATCTGCCTTAGAAACAGACTCTGAAGAATCGGGAAGAGATTCATAATGCAATGGCGATGTGCAACGGAGCCAATGGACAATATGCACTTCCCCCCCCCAACCTTCACTCGAACAGTTGTACTGGAACACCACCCTCAATCTCCCACCCTCCATCTCCAGCAATCACAGTGCGACCAAAAATGATCATGACCTGAAAAACATTCTCTCCTCACAGAAAGGCTTCAGTGCAATAACACGTGCAACCACAAACCGTGCATAGTCCAACTAACCCTCCACACCCCACCTCCTCCACCTCCGGGAATGGTCTCGAGGCCGAAAAAGCTGTAACCTTGCCATCCTCAGCAATTGCACAACGCAACCGCAGTCTTTGTTTTCTTGTTTTCCCCTGTAGCCGGAGTCTGCAACATAGCCTTACCTCCGCCCAAGACAAAACAAATTGTTAAAAAGCTGTAACCTTGCCATCCTCAGCAATTGCACAACGCAACCGCAGTCTTTGTTTTCTTGTTTTCCCCTGTAGCGGGAGTCTAGCCTGCAACATAGCCTTACCTCCGCCCAAGACAAAACAAATTGTTCTCTAATGGCCCTCTGCTCAACACCCAACCCTCGACAACATAGGAGGAGGATATCCAGGAAGGAATAGGAAGCCTGAGCGCAAACTCCATTTTGTATTGCCATCCAGCCAACCACCGTTCAAACCTGTACTCCATGGTAAAGGCCACCAGAACGAAAATAGAGCCGCTCTCAACCCAGATACTGCCACCTAGAAGCAATCACTTGTTCCAAATGACACCCTGCTATTTTCCAGACCTGCAGCTTTTATACTCTACTGGAAATTACCATGGTACCCACTCTACTGGAAATCACCATGGTACCCCCGAGGTCGCCAGGCAGTGTGACAACCGACGGCGAAAGGCACACCCACAAAGGACCTTTTCTTCAGATCTGAGTATGGAATTGCCGTCCGATAGATCCAGGAAGGGTCGAAATTGCAGTCAGGACCTGTCAGGTATATCCAGGAAAGTCTGACTCTCAGTAGAGTCAGTATCCTCGAGATTGATGTCCGGCCTCCTGATTCACTCACAAGTTGGAGATCTTTGTCATCCAGATTACCAGTACTCAGTACTTGCTAGGATAGTAAGCAGGAGAGAAAGGGCGTGCAGCGGGCCCATACTTCCCTTCAACTTCCTCATGCTCATCCAATAGTTGAATCACTACATAGTCTGTGGAAGGTCCAGCTGCATCAGTCGCACTTGCCTGTTGATACTAAAACCCATCTCGAAACCAATAACCCAAGGCAGGCGCCCAGGACTTCAGTCCACAACACCCATGAAGAGGAGAAGGCCAATGAGACCCACCCTGTCCTCCTCTGTCTTTCTCATACACTTATGGAGTGGTGGAATTACTAGACAGCCTGCAGAATTCCAAACTACTGCCCGCATTCTGATCTGAACTGAGCGCCGAGTCAAAGAAAAGAATGGAGGGTCGGCACCCAGTGCTTCTATGCATTACCGGCACGAGGTGCTGTTAACTCATGCCAGGAACAAAACTCTTCACCGATGTCAGCTACCTGATTGCACTCAAGACTGGAAATCATTACCCATCTTTCACACTCTCCTGGAAATCGTTACCCATGTTACCCACTCTCCCGACATACTCCCATCTCCGTGAGAAGTATAAACTTATCACATTCCAGTGCAAACTACTCTCTCCCAAAATATTCAAACAAGAAAAGATCATACAAGATGGGACGGCAAATTATTCCCCAGTTCCGCAATCTTCGGACACAAGTCCTGGCTTCTAGAGAAGTACGATCTTACCACCATGCTGCGGAAGTCAGGACGCCAGCGCCACTCACAATCTCCCAACACATTCCAACAAAAGAAAGTAGGTAGTTTACACAATGGGACACTCGAATCGTTTGGACTTCCACATTCTCTCATCGTATTCCCAGCTTGCAAAGAACTGTGAGCTAACCACCATGTTGCAGAAGTCGCACACGATGCTAGCGCCACTCACACTCTCCCAACAACAAAAAGTAGGTGGCCTTGCACAATGGGACACTGGAAATCATTCGGAGTTCCACATTCTCCCATCAGACTCCCAGCTTGTGCAAACAAGTGTGAACTTACAAGTTACCACTTGCCATGTTGCGGCAATCGCACAGGATGCTGGTGCCACTCATACTCACCCAACACACTCCAACAACTAGATGTTCTTACATAATGGGACACCGGATATCATTTGGAGCTCCGCATCCTCCCAACATACTCCCAACCATATCCCAAGTTTCCAACAGCGTGTGAACTTACCACCATGTTGCAGCAGTCGCACAGGATCCCGGTGCCACTCTTCGTTCCTGATAACAAGCACTGCATATCAGCCAAGACGATGTTGAAAAAGACCACCAAAAGGAAAGAATTAGATCTAGGCGAAATGCAAGGTATAGCTTGTGGTTGTCACGACAGACACACAACTTCAGCGTATCAAAACAGTAGGATCAAGTGTGAAGAACAGTATCGTCGATAAAACCTGGGCGCTGAACAAGTCTTAAAAAATCGTAGGTGTTGGATATAAAGCTAGTACTAATCCACAGAGCTCCATACTTATCTTGAAATTAGAATTTAGTCATGATATGAAACTTCAAGCTCCGCCCTCGGTTCGTGTGTTTTGCTTAAAACCTACCCTAATTTGTTGTACTGGAATCGACCGACAAAAGGTCACACAATTTGCTGCCAGAATCAAACGTTGTAAGCCTCCTGAAGTTTATAAAGGGAAGGGTCTTCGATATCGAAATGAAATTATACTGGTACCAAGCACTACCCAGTACTACATACTTAATCCAAGCACTACTTTGCACCTACTTAGCACATCCAATACTTAGTACTGAGTACTTGGTACCAAGCAATACTTAGTACTAAGTACTTGGTACCAAGCACTACCCAGTACTACATACCTACTTAGCACCTCCAATACTTAGTACTGAGTACTTGGTACCAAGCACTACTTAGTACTAAGTACCAAGCACAACTTAGTACTAAGTACCAAGCACGACTTAGTACTAAGTACCAAGCACGACTTAGTACTGAGTACTTAGTACCAAGCACTACTTAATACTAAGTACTTAGTACCAAGCACTACCTTGTACTAAGTACTTAATCCAAGCACTACTTAGCACCTCCTTTGAATTTAGACTGGGATGCGACTCAGAAGAAATTGGGTGAAAGTCGCAGTTGGGCAGAATAACGTTATGGGCCGCCCCTTTCAGTATGGAAAAAGGAAACAAATGGCCCCATCAACTTTTGGGAAAAGAGAAACAGGAAAAGCATAACCTTGTGATACACACCTCACGTACCTCCACCGTGGCAGCAGCATGGCAGCAGGACAGAATTGCAGCTCAATATGGGTCGTTCTGAACTACCAGTACTTTTCCCAGCCATTCTTTTGCGATGCAGCGGGGCTTGTACAGGCCTGCGGTTTCATGCCATGTTCGTCCAGGCAAAAATGGTTGCGTGCACGGCCTGCTTTGCCTGGATGTTTTCCAAGCAAAACGGCAGGCTGGAACATCCTGCCACACGCAGTGCAGGCACTGCTGAAATAAAATGGCCAGGAAAAGTACTTGTGGCTTAAAACCGCAAGTATGCTGACCCAGCCTTGCAGAAAAACGTTTGTCACCAACTCCGGAATTTTTTCGTGGCTCGGCCCTACCGGACCACAATGGCTGGCAGCGCCAGGCAAAAAAGAAAAAAAGTATGCCGCTTGCGATTCAGAAAAGTGAGGCGCACAGTGCAGTTCGCCAGGCTCCAATGTACTGGTGGTTTAAGATCACTTCGATCAGTTACCACATACATGTTTTTCTTCCCCGCACAAAACAACAAATAAGAAACTTTCAGGATACAAAGAGAAACAAGAAAAACATGAATTCGTAGAACTAGTAACGCCATAACATCCATGGAAGAAACACACGGGTTGCAAGCGTGGACGTGAAAGTACCTTTCCCTTGATGTAGTAGCCGAGCATCGTCCCATCCGGTAGCCCTCCTGGACGGAACAGGGCCTTGTGCAAGGTAGCAGGCTCCCTAGAGTGGAAAGAGGCCATTCCATAACAACCATATTGTGAACTCTGTTCAGAATGTCATCGTCTTTTGTCATCCACACATGGCAAAGCAATCGCCCAGACAACAGATAAGAGCTTGAGATAAGAACAGTTGCACCCAACATAACCGAATGGACACGTCAACACGTAATAACTTGCTAATACATTACTAATAACCAAAGACATCTTTTGAAGAACACCCTGCAGCACTCCACTCCCGTCTGAGGATCCGGTTCAGTGCCGTCATCCACAAAGACATCTTTTGAAGAACACCCTGCAGCACTCCACTCCAGTCTGACGATCGGGTTCAGTCCCATCATCCACTAAGATATCTGCCTTAAACGCAGAACTCCAGCAAAATAACAGCAAGAAAGAAAGGAAACACATGAAGTGTCTTGTGACTTCGACTGAGCGAACGAAAGTTTGGAAGCAAAGTACCGCCGCGCAGAGATCAGGTACACGCCAAAGGAGAAGCCGATAGACCCCCGAGGGGGCCTACTATCTAGCACAGGAAACATCAAAAGGAAAATGCCACATTGCGCTGTCCAGCTCACAATGCAGGTGCTCCTGAAGTCTAGGACATCGGCTCAGGGGTGCCTTGTCAAATCTCAAGCATTTTGAAGCCTTGGAATCGGGCATCGGACAGCTCAGGGGCAACTTGTGAAGTCCCAACCATTTCGCACCGTCAGGATCAGCCACTGGACATTCCATTCGCCACTTCACTTAAGTACTCTTAAACCATTTGATCATACAGGGTGAAGCACAAAACATCTCAGAGCCTGGCAGCTGGAAGTCTCAGGCATCTTGCAGCCTTAGGATTAGGCAGCGAACATGTCCCCGGGATGCCGTTGATCGGGGAGATGAATACGTTTCTGTTCCGTGCTACCCCACTTATCTAGCCTTTCTCAAGCTACCTGGTCCCTACGACACCGGTTAACCTGCGCAAAATCCCAGATTGAGCCTACCAGAAGGAAAAGGCTGGGGGGCGTGGCACTTTCGACCCCGTGCTGGTTCCTTTTCTTTTCGGCAAATGGCAAAAAAAGGACGCTCGGATAAACTGGTGGCTTTACAACTGTCGACCGCTTGATCATACACAGGTTGAGGCAGAAGACATGTAAGACAGATTAGCATCTAGCATATCCAACGCAATTTGCTAACCCGCAATGACCCTCGCATTGCCGCCATCGCGCACAACAGGCAAAGAGGCGGGCGCGACTGGCGCTATCTTCACGCTATTGCGCACAGAAGGCAAAGTGGCGGGCGCGACTGGTGCTATCTTCACACTATAGAAGCATGAGCCTGGCAACCATTGCTGGCACATTCGCGCCTTCCAACCATGACCATGACACCAGCGACGCCTGCCCCAAACAGTAAACAACTCTGGAATTGATTGAGTACAGTCTGCGTAACCCAGGTCAGGGATGTACTTCGATGCTGGGGTGGAGCGAAATGTCCACAAGGGGTTTCACTTTCAGCCCAGTTCACTTCAGCTATTGGTTAAGTAGGTCATAGGTTCGATTCCCGGTGACTTGGTCTTGGACTTCTTGTATATTTGCAAGGACTTTGAGCCGGTCGGACGCCCTTGCAGTGGCTTGGTTTAGGTGTGACCAGTGCCACAAGGCACACGGGTTGAGTAGAGTATGGGCACTCCAGGTCATGGATGTACTTCAATGCTGGGGTGGGGTGGAATGCCCATAAGGGGTTTCACTTCCATCCCAGCTCAGTTCACCTATTGGCTAAGCGATCCACCTCTTCGGTGGTAGGCCGTAGGTTTGAATCCTATTGAGTTGGTCTTGGACTTCTTGTATACTTGCAAGCTTCCTGCACTCTCTTCATCCCTGACTCCTCCACAAAATCAATGAGGCAGTGTAGCAGGAACTCCAATCTGGAAGCCTTTGTTTCTCACTGGACCACCACTCACCCAATGCATAAAATGGGAAGTGCATCTTTTCTGCTACAAGGTGGAATGACGCACCCAGCAATTTCTGTTGTCTTTCTTGCATTTCCCAAGCTGTGCAGTGATGCCCTTTGTCCCTCGCGATCCCGGGCGACTCCACCTCTTTTAACGTCATTTGCAAAACTTGTAATCGTGGGCCTCGCCACACCACACTCGCCAAACGCCAACATTCTGAATGTATCTGGATTCTGGAGCCTGGAGCTTGTCCTGATACATAAGCTCCGGACACATTCAAAATGTCGGTCTTTGGCAAGTGGTGCGGCAAGACCTACCGTCTTCCCCCGAACATAACGCATAAGTGTTGTACCTTTTTCTTCGAATACAAGGGCACTTTGAATATAACACATGTACGTTCTATTCGAATAATACGCATGTGCGTTATATTCGAATTTCACAAAGAGAAAATTGTTGTATTCGTATATAACCTTTTTTTTTTCCCGAAGGTCAACGCCTGCTCCATTCTTGCCCTGGTGAACGGGACAGGCCCGTGCACGCTTGTAATCACAGATCACTGTGCGAGCTCTCTCTCTCTCTCTCTCTCTCTCTCTCTCTCTCTCTCTCTCTCTCTCTCTCTCTCTCTCTCTCTCTCTCTCCCTCGTGAACGAAGGTGCCTCTGACAGCCAAGAATGTGGCGCGGCCAAGAATGTGGCGCAGCCAAGAAAGTGGAAAAATAAGAAAGCCACTCACCAAAGCCTTGCTACACTACCGTGGTCACCGAGACAAAAGTGGAAAAATAAGAAAGCCACTCACCAAAGCCTTGCTACACTACTGTGGTCACCGAGACAAAAGAGAAAGGGGTTGTATTTGTCCACGGTCTAGTGGAAAATTCATTCCCGTGTTGCACATTTGCTGAGGAGTGGAGCAAGGGCCCAAGTAGGGGAAAGGAATGGAACTCAACCCAGACCATGGAAAGGTATGTTGCTACTTTATTTTTACCTTTTTGCCAAGGCTCTGAGCCCCCCAGCCGTGGTCCAGAACTGAGCCTACTCAGCCTGGACACGACCCCCTTGTGCAGACGAAGTTGGTCTCGTTCACTCGAACATAACGCATATGCGTTGTAAACGAATACAACGCACGGTATGTGTTGTATTCGTTTACAACGCATATGCCTTATGTTCGGGGGAAGACGGTAGTGTCTCATATCCCCATATTGACCCTGCATAAAACCATCACACTACCGTCTTCACCCGAATAGAACGCCCGGTCATTATAGCCGTATCTGGTGCAATTTTCAGTCCAGGTACGGCTATAATGACCGGACGTTCTATTCGGGTGGAGACGGTAGGCCCTTTTTGAATCAGCTCTAGACGTGATTGGGGTCAGAATCCGTCAGATGCATCCAGGTCTACCCGTAATTGCCGTCAGATACATTAAACAAATTACCAGTGTGAGTATGCCCTGACTCTGGCGAGAAAGTGGAAGTGCGGGGATAACCAAGATAGATATAAAGTTCATAAACTAACGAGGTGAACGAACAAACCCGGCGAGTGAGCGTCACAACAAGTGACAAATCCGAAGCCCGCAGTAGCAGTAATGAATGACAAGCCCGAGAAATAGAACAACTTCAACATGAGGTGAATATGAATGAGGTACATCAGATGCTGCCAGGTCATCCACAATGGGCTATGGCTCACAGATGAGATACTGCCAGTCAATGTATAGGTGTTCGCCATTCACAGAGCAGCAGCAAAGACAGGACGAGAAAGGCAATCACACTCCTTGACATAAGAGAAAAAGGAGGACAATTTCTCCTAAGAGTCCTGATCAAACTGTACAAACTGGGCATTCGAGGCATCCATCAAAGTTGGAATGATTCGGAGAAGATTAGTGTGACACCAGCACAAGGCCAACACACACAAATCGAAATATGGTCCACGTTATCAGAACTAGACATCAAGCACAAACTTGTCTTCACAATCAAGCGGGTTAACAAGACCTGTAACCGCACATCGACGGTAGTAACATGGTAGAAGCACTGAGAACTATCTTCTTCCCCCGAATAAAATGTACGGTCATTATAGCTGGCTGCATTTGAGGCATCTTTCTGTCTAGATACTGCCGTAATGACCGTCCTTTGTACTCAGGGGAAGAAGGTAGGAAAGTATCGGTTGCGAATGCATATAGGAAAACAGCAATACACTCTCTGCTTCAAATAGACACCTCATCATTAATCCTAGGTGGAGTTAACAGATTGTTTCCGCCTGTGAAACCGACCTTGAGGACCACAAACATCCAACAGAAAACATTCATTCACAGAACAGTGGGCACCAACCCTACAGCACTCATGCCTGACATTCCACTGCACGCAAAAGCAAACCAAAAATCCAAGAAAGATAGGCTATAAATTTCAGGAAAACATGATAGCCCATCAGTTCCAGTTCTTTCCTCTCTCTCTCTCTCTCTCTCTCTCTCTCTCTCTCTCTCTCTCTCTCTCTCTCTCTCTCTCTCTCTCTCTCTCTCTCTCTCTCACACACACACACACACACACACACACACACACACACAGAGAACGGATGTCATGCATTTCATTTGCAGATTGCCAAAGGGAAAATCATATGATCAACAAACGTCCAGACAGTCGTTCACTGGATAAAATTGAGAAAAACACAGAGCGTGCCCTCAAAGGCAGCCAGCCAAACAACTCCTGATTTTCGCCACAATATCAATGTCACTTCCAGGATTCCAAGAATACCAATCTATACCTTGGCCACAACGGGTTCGAGTGGACTAAAATGGCCATATGTGTCCACAGTAGAAAACATGAGGTCCACTATCAGGTCATGCTTAGTGCACCGCCCAACGGGACAACAAGCAATACTGACATGACTCTGCCACAGGTTTGTTACATCAACGGCCAGGGCGGTGCATGGAATCCAGCCCTTATTACAGGACGCACAGGAGATAACAGAACCTGGAAAATAGAACCCCTCTTCACAACCTGATCAAGTAGTGGCCACAGACCTTGTAGACAATAATAACATCGAGAATAGAGAAAGATATTCTGGACGATCCCAACTCGCCACCTCATGTCAGCTAGAGAAACAGCCCTACCAAACCCACTCACTAACTGTGCAACCTGAGCCTGGAGCGCCTTTTGGCTGTCCTGTTTCGGACTGTACCCTAGTTGCAGCTGGTCTGTAACCTAGAACAGGACAGACAAAAGGTCCGTCCTTGTTCAGATTTCATCCTGGTCAAGCTGGTCGATCAGTTTAACCAGGATGAAATCTGAACCAGGACATCGCCAGCTCGTCTAACGGCTAGATCAGGACAGGCAAAAGGTGCTTCCTTGTCCAGATTTTCACTGGTCAAGCTGGTCTGTCAGCATAACTGGGACAAAATCTAAACCAGGACATCGCCAGCTGGTCTATTGGGTAGATCAGGACAGGCAAAAGATCCTTGTTCAGATTTTATCTTGGTCAAGCTGGTCTATCAGCTTCACCAGGGGAACATCGGAACCAGGACACCTCCGGTGACAAGGACAGGCCAAAGACTTCCTGGTTCAAATTTCATCCAGGTCAAGCTGTGTCTATCAGCTTCACCAGGGTAGACTTTGAACCAGGTCATCTCCAGCTGGTCCACGCGCTTGGTTCAGATTTCACCCTGGCATCGCTCGTCTATCAGCTGAACAAGAGTTGAATAGCCACTACATCACCTGGTATATCAAGCTAGCAAGAGGTTGGATTCCTTTGATCTCCTTTGCCGTCTTTAGTTCTTTCTTGCTGAAGATATGATCAATTTGTTAAGGCTGGTTTCAATCTCATTGCTCTCTCGCACTGTTACTTCCAGGATGGGGCGATTAGTGAGGGGACATCAGGAGGGGCCTTCACCGCACCTTCCTTACCTTGTCTTCCCCTTGGACACGGTTGCAGGTGTCCGTGGAACTCCAAACGGCACAACGGCAGATGATGCTCCCGGTCTGCAAAAAGACAAGCAACCCCATCAAGAAAAGGGATGCCATGGTAAGCAAACACCGTTGAGATTGAGCTGTCACTGATCCAGGAATCACGGGAGCGATTAATCCCACTGAAAATAAATGATGCGCAGAGCTTGCAATGCCTCTGGAGAAAAAAAGGGTGGAGAAAGCATGCAGAAACACAGAATCATTAACGGGAGACGCTTACTGTACCACCAAGGCATTAAGACTTAAGCCCCACTGTGCCATGGTCATCCTGAGGAAGCATGAACCTGGTCATAGCAATGGCTAGGTTCCTTCTTTATCAGCACAAATATAGTACCAGTGGTGCCTGGCCGATATTTTCCACATTCGGACGAGATTGCTGGATGGAGTGGGAGCCATAGATAATCAGAGTGTCTGCGAACCAAGCCCAATGACATCAATTACTTACAGGTGGGGTACAGGGGTGCAGCATGCACAAAAATAAATTTGACGAGTAAGGTCACCCACGATGCCAATTAGTTAATGTCATCTATTACGGTGACAGCAGACATTTACGATACCATATTACAATGTCAATCATCTCCTGGAGCTCAAAACACAGAAACAAAGTCAAATTGTGCGGCGGAACAATTGCCGGAAAAACAGCAGAGAGAACTGAAAGGGTGCAATGAGCACGTACATATATATGCAGGGGTTGCTTCCACACAACTTACCTGGGTAGGAAGTTGCTGCCTCATTGAAAGACGGAGGACACCTTGGCCCATACCATTTCGAGACCAACCCCACACTCTGAATGACAGGGAATACTAAGCTCTCTGGATATTATAAATTGGTTTGGTACACCATCTCAGCTGTGTCCTCTCCACTACTACTAGGTTCATCTGGGACACTCCTTTTCCCCTTTCTGGTGTGCTAGCACCGTTTCTTCACTTCTGCAGGTCATCCTTTTGGTGAGCGTGCTCTTTCCCACTGCATCTGGGGCCATATGCTTGGGCCATCTCCTCACTTTTCTAGCTCATCATTTTGTTTTTCTTGTCATTTCCAGTGCTTGTAGGGTCATCTACAACACTCCTTTCCCCCCTTTTTGGTATGCTTGGGCTGTCTCTTCACTTTTGTGGCTCATCTTTGTGGGGTTCTTGTCGTTTCCACTGCTTTTAGGGCCATCTGCCATCTAATAGAACGCCCCGCTAGCATAGCCGTATTCAGTGCAACTTTCAGTCTCCATACACCAATAATGATCGGGCAAGCTTTCAGGTGAAGATGGTTGAACACTCTTTTTTCCTCTCTTCGTATGCTTGGATCGTCTCTTCACTTTTGTGGCTCATCCTTTCGGTGTTCTTGTCGTTTCCACTGAACATGGTTGAGCCATTTCTTCATTTCTCCGTCCGATACCTGTTCGCTGCAGGCCACTCTTTTTCCCCTTCTGGACATGGTTGTGTCATTTCTTTATCTGTGTGCCTGGTTTTCTGGCGTGCATATCCTTTCCAGTCCGACGCAGTCATGATGAATGTGAATTGTATTCAGAGCAAAGACGGTAGTTCTGGAGCTATACCTAGGACCCCTTTTTTCCTCTTTTTCCAAGTTTTTGGGGATGTTTGGGCCATTTCTTCATTTTTCTGCCTGATCCCTGCGGAGGAACAGTAGTAAGCTTCTCTCTATTTTTATAACCATTTGGAATGAGCGGAATGTCACTTTGCCACAAAGTTGGTAAAAATACGAAAAGTTAAAAGCAGAAGTCGTTAATCCTCATGCCCTTCAGAACCACCACTAAAATTGGAACAACACAGCAAGATTAGCATGGCCTTTGCGAAAGGATGCAAAAAAATGGAGAAAGGTCCGAACTGGCAAAAAAACACAAACAACAAATGACACGGAGGAACTCCAGGAATTTAGAAGAAACCTGGGAAACACATCAATCAGTTGAGAATCTTGAGATAGTACTCGATACCGTTCGTTAGGCTGACTGGTGCTCTTCAATTGACAACTTTCTTTTTTTTCTTTTTTTTGTATTTTACTATTTTCTTTTCTTTTCTTTTTTTGTCTTTCCTTTTCTTTTCTTTTCTTTTTTCAAAAAATTTTGGACCATTTCCCGATTTACGTGTGTCATCCTTGCGCAGGGGCCATGCTAATCTTCTCTGTATCGTTCCAATTTTAACGGATGTCCCAAAGGACATTTTCTCTTTTTTTTCTTTTCTTTTATTTATTTTTCTTTTCTTTTCTTTTATTTATTTTTCTTTTCTTTTCTTTTTGTTTTTTTGGTACGAAGCTCCCATCAGGTTACTAGGGGTGCTGATATGAACAGACACCGCAAGTACCGTGGGGGAGGCTCCATCTATTGGTGGGGAGCAGCACCTGCTGAAATCTTTTTAACGGGGGCCGACCTCCCCTCATAAAGACCGGACCATCGGGACCCAAGTTAAAGATTAAAACTCAAGAATACCGACAAGAAAAATCGTCAATGGACAAATTGATATATGTACCTCCCTTGCAGCTGAATGGTTCAGAGTCTTCAAACAAAGGGTGACGAGTTCAAATCCGGCTGAATTGAACAATGCTAGGGCCTGTTCCCTTTCCTCCAATTGTTAGGGTGAACAACAAGGAAAAGCGAAATCAATACCAAACCTGCAACAAGATACGGCGGAGATTTACTACATGTCTTTCCTGGCAGCATTTCTAAGTGCTGACATACAGCCTCACTCCCCTACTTGCCAAATGTGCAAAGTGAGAATGAATCTTCCGCTAGAACATGGGAAGATACGCCACCATATTTTCCTATTGTGCATGTGTGCCGCAGTGGCACGAGGCCCATTGCTAATGGGCTGCGGGCCCTCCTTCTCCAGTGCTCGCAGACACCGTACGTGAAGACTGTTACCCTCATTGTTGACGATTGGGGCACAGCCCATCATTGTTAGCAATCGAACATGGATTTTTGATATCTAAATGATTGGGCCTCGCTCCACTACTCAAAACATGCGCAAAAGACAAAAAATATGGCGGACTATCGTTCCATTGTTCTAGCGGAAGATGGATTTTCATTTTGAACATTTGGTGAGTAGTGGAGCAAAAGGCCATAACATCCCTGAATGCCAACCTTCAGGTGCAAGAGAGAGAAGAACATTACGAGAGCGTTGAAACTCGTTGTTTTTGCTTCTCCGCTTTCCTTGTCCGCCCCCCACCTCCGAAGAGTGTGGCAATACACAAGCACACCTCGCTGGTGGTTCAGACGGGAACAAAAAGAAAAACACAAAGAAACATTGGAAAGATGAAACCGGTGACAATTTAGACTGCTGGACCCAGCCATAGACAGGAAATATGCGATCCCGAAAGTGCAGATAGAGAAGCCATTATTATACACTCCCCTACCACAACCCAACCATAGTAGAGCAACCCCTTTATGGAATCCCAAAAGTGCAGGTGCAGAAGCCATTATACCCTCCCTTACCACAGTAGAGCACCCCTTTATGGGATCCCAAAAGTGCAGATAGAGAAGCCATAATTATACCCTCCCCTACCACAATAGAGCGCCCCCGTTTCCCTCTGCGAAAAGAAAACGGAAGGTCGTTCCACTCACCAGACCCGCTTCCATCAACCAAACAAAGTCAACGCGCACTTGCCTGTCATCAAAGATAGCGAAGCCATTATACCCTCCCCTACCACAATAGAGCACCCCCGTTTCCCTCTGCGAAAAGAAACGGAAGGTCGTTCCACTAACAAGGCCCACTTCCATCAACCAAACAAAGTCAACGCTCACTTGCCTGTCATCAAATTTGCTATCTTCACGCCTCATTTTCTTTCTCATTGAACTGTTCTTCGAGCAAGAGGGGCAAAACCAGTCACCTTTGGGAATAGCCAAGAGTCCAACGCATTCTGCAACACATAATCCCCAAAATACACTGCCGTGGTCGTCAGCATCCCATACCAAGAGCGGAAAACTTGACAAACTTGCCAATTCCAAAACAAAAGGGATGGGCACAATCGTGTCTCATGGCAGCTGGCTTCACAGTAAATGCCCATCTCTTCAGTTCGAGGGATGAGCCGGCTCAGCAAAAGGCGGCCGAAAGCACACTTTTCCAGAACGAGAGGATTCGGACATCAGGTAATTTGACATAACTGATAGCATGTTAACCCCCAACAACTCAGCCTGCAGCCCCCCCCCCCCCCCCCCCCCCCCCCCCCCCCCCCCCCCCCCCCCCCCCCCCCCCACAGCATTCACCCACCAAACGGATGGTTCCACTGCAAGCACCCACCACGACATACTGGCCCTGCTACCACCACCACCCCAAACACTCAACGCCTGGGAGCGCAAGAGCCCCTGCCCCTAACCTTCTTCCCCAACCGTACATATGTGCACCAGAAGATAACAAAAGTGCACAAGCTAACTGTGACACACTACCACTGCTACAAACTTGCCACTTCCAAAACAAAAGGGATGGGCGCCACAGTGTCTCATGGCAGCTGGCTTCCAAGTAAATGCCCATCTCTTCAGTTCGAGGGATGAGCAGGCTCAGCAAAAGGCGGCCGAAAGCATACTTATCCAGAACGAGAGGATTCATTATGCAGGTTCTTTCTGTAACATCCACTGGTCAGCCTCTGAAAGACAGGCAACAGACTGACAACATGCACGTCAGTTACCTCCACAATGCCCGAGTCACACACACTAATAATGAATGTAAGTAAACAAACTGCCCATGTAGCTGTATGCCCTCTCTCTCTCTCTCTCTCTCTCTCTCTCTCTCTGTGTGTGTGTGTGTGTGTGCTGTCTCTTATACACATCTAGATGTGTATAAGAGACAGGTCCNAAAGCACACTTTTCCAGAACGAGAGGATTCGGACTTTAGTTTATTTGACAAAACAGATAGCATGTTAACCCCCAACAAAAAAGCCTCCCCCCCCCCCCCCCCCCCCCCCCCCCCCCCCCCCCCACTAACCTTCCTCCCCACCTGTACAGCATTCACCCACCAAACGGATGGTTCCACTGCAAGCACCCACCACGACATACTGGCCCTGCTACCACCACCACCCCAAACACTCAACGCCTGGGAGCGCAAGAGCCCCTGCCCCTAACCTTCTTCCCCAACCGTACATATGTGCACCAGAAGATAACAAAAGTGCACAAGCTAACTGTGACACACTACCACTGCTACAAACTTGCCACTTCCAAAACAAAAGGGATGGGCGCCACAGTGTCTCATGGCAGCTGGCTTCCAAGTAAATGCCCATCTCTTCAGTTCGAGGGATGAGCAGGCTCAGCAAAAGGCGGCCGAAAGCATACTTATCCAGAACGAGAGGATTCATTATGCAGGTTCTTTCTGTAACATCCACTGGTCAGCCTCTGAAAGACAGGCAACAGACTGACAACATGCACGTCAGTTACCTCCACAATGCCCGAGTCACACACACTAATAATGAATGTAAGTAAACAAACTGCCCATGTAGCTGTATGCCCTCTCTCTCTCTCTCTCTCTCTCTCTCTCTCTCTCTGTGTGTGTGTGTGTGTGTGTGTGTGTGTGTGTGTGTGTGTGTGTGTGTGTGTGTGTGTGTGTGTGTGTGTTACATGCCCAGTTGGGCGATGTACATAAATAACCGAGGATCCGCAATGTGATAAAAAGGACTGAATGGACAATGCAGTGCAAGTGAAATCTCAACACGCAATGTACATTCTGATACATACAAAAATGGTGCTTTAAGTCAAAACTAAGGCAGTCCGACTACCTTGTCGGCTGCGTCTATCTTATTGTCGGAAGCCAACTCCTCGTTGGCGGTTGTATGAATTTTGTGGTGTTGAACCTGAGATGGTCGGATTGTATTTCGATCTTTGTGTGTTTGGATGTACCATATGATGACTCAAATTCTTTCTGTTATCTTTTCATATTGGTATATGTTCGTATCGACTACGGTAGCACAGGGGAAGACTTAGATACAAGTCCTGACCTGACCGGGACTGACCTCTATCACATAGTGCAAGACAGCGCAGCAGAATGCTAGAATACCAATGACTAGCCCAATCAATGTCGCAACGCAGACCAAACATACATCATCCTCGTCACAAGTTGTGAAGGGGGGCCTGGCGCTACACACAGGAAGAATGCGCCAGGTCCAGACTCCAGATCATGCACAGACGAAGAGGAGGGGAACAGACGAAAAAGAGGGGGAGAGATGGGAATGTCATCAACACTGAGTCTTTGTTACAAGTCCCAAATAATCCCTCGTCAAAATGTCTGAAGCCCAATGTCGAGTCTGGATCCAAATGTCACCAAGCCCTCTCTCTCATAGTCTGCTGATGTAGTGAAGTCAGGTAGCAAGAGGGTGAGAGGGAGATGGTGGACTGAGAAGAGGAAGAAGAAGAACTCTCTCTCTCTCATATGCCAGGTACTAACCTGTGAAGATGGCGCTGTGCTGCAGGTACCTCGAAGGCGAAGCTGGAGCTATGGCGCTGCAGGTAAGTATCCCTGGCCTCCGCCCAATCTCTCTCTCTCTAGTACTACTCTAGCTCCTAAGAGCGCCCAGCGCTGAAGACTACTGCTAACACTACTAGCGCCCAGCGCTGAAGACTACTGCTAGCGCTACTACTACTCCTGCAGCGCTCCTCCAGAATGCTGCTGCCGAATCCTGAAGACTACCTCCTGCCTCCTGAACTGCACGTGAAGTGCCTGGGCAGTACCTAGGAACTACCTGCAGCCTGCAGGTAGGGCCAGTCCTATATAGTGCTGGCCCGTCCAGCAGGCTGCTCTTGCCAATGCCAAAACGTGCCAGACCCTGGCACTGAAGCTCAACCAAGGGTTGTCTTGAAAACAGGCCCAAAATGGCCTGCGCTAAAACCCTGGTCTGGTGCCTGAGTTTCAGGGCAGGTCAATCTTATGAGGGCCTGAAATTGCCCTCAGTTTCAGGCTGAAAAGACTCAGGGCCGGAAAGGCCCTGATTTAGGCCGAAACGACACAGGGCCTGTAGGCCCTTGTTTTCAGGCTTTCGGGCTGAAAACGACACGGGCCTGAAAATGGCCCGTGCAGCCTGTTGCAGGCGC